GCTAAAATGTTAGCTAAAGAAGTAGCAATCAACACGTGGTGCGCTGGGAGCTGAGCAGACAGAGGGGGATGGGGCCAAAAAAAAAAAAAAAAAAGCAAAGCAACTGCAGTTCTGTGACATTTTAATGACATTTAAACATGTTGAAGTGATTACAACTGTAAATATTAATTATTGAGTGCTGCTGGGGGACACATTGTTCAGCCCCACCTGCCTCAAAGTGCAAACTTTAAACATGGTACCTGTCTCCTGGGAGCTGGAGATGATTTTATTWGGAGGTATTTTGTTTGCGGTCCTCTTCGTCCAGGGGTTGACTTTAGGTGGAGGAGCTTCAACAACTTTCTTCTTCACCACCTGAACAGCCGAGTCAGCACTGCTGCCTCCTCCTCRTRCTTCTTCTTCGTTCTCCTTGTCGTTTTCTTTTCGCTCCTTGGGTTTGTGGTCGTGTTCGGACGGCCGGGTCTCCGGACCCCGCTGCTTCTGGTCCTSCTCCGGCTCGCTGCGGTGGTTCTCCCCCTGCGCCCCGCTGAAGCTACCGGCTGTCAAACCCGGGTCGACCGGACTGCACTCAACCTCGGCGGACATGCTAGTTTCCTAAAAAGCGGGGGTTTAAAATCCAGCGTGAACTCGCGCTTTTCTTCTAAAGTAGTAAAAAAAAAAAAGCCGAGGGGGATGACAACATCCACCCGAGGTAAAAAGAATTTCTTTTTCCCCCTTTTTTTTTTCTTTTTTTTTTTGGGCTGGACCTCGCTAGCCTAGTTAGCCCCCTGCAGCTAACTGTTAGCTAGCTGCTCGGGACCATGCAGAAGCCAGCGAGTTAATGTTTTCTCCTTAGCGAAAATAGTTTGTTTTCGAGCCGATAGTTAGCTAGCTTCAAAGCTACGAACCCGAACTCGGTTCTTCTGGAGCTCTACCAACTTTGACGAGAAAAGAAATGTTTAAAAAAAGCGACCTCCACCAACTTTGTCTCTAATTTTAACTCTACGCTACCTGCAACGGGCTCGTGCAGTCTGCTGTCCTCATGTTGTAAACACTGACTCTGCTGCCCCCAGCGGCCACACCTCGGTACTGCAATACTGTTTTTATTATTTTTATCATACACTTACGTGGAAAAAGTCAGATGAGCACACTATAAAAATGCATAAACATAACACAAATATAATATGAAAAAATATAATTACTCCCTTAATTATATGGGTACAATGTTATTTATTTGCAACTTTTTTTGCAAAACATCTATAAAGTTATTTATGGAAGCACAATTCCACCAAAAATCCCTGTATTTTTTCCTCAGCTTAGTTTTTCATAAAAGTGACATCACAAAACTATAGCATTTCACAATTATGAGATYCTAAGTCAGATATGAGGTGTTATGTCAAAGTTATAAATTATTAAATCATAATTTTAT